AGGGTAAGGGGAGGTAGTAATGATACTCTTAGTCGCTTCATCTTACGGAAATCAGGATAAGCCCCGACTGCACGCGCCACTTGGCTCGAGTAAAGATAACCATTTCAAATTATTTTCTTGTGAATTAGCTTCCTTTCTGTTGCAGAGTTAACTTCTTCTGTAAAGCCGGTCGAAACTTCTACTCCTGCCAAGTCTAAACGTTCACGGAAAAGCAAGAGAAAGGAACACAAACGGGATGAAATGTCAGGTGAATGCAATCAGCCAGGGATCAAAAGACGAGAGGAAGATTTGGTTGATAGGAAAATACCAGAGCGCGACGGTAAAGTATTCTATTACACGTTAAATGTTTGTGCAGTGTGTAGAATGTAGTTAAATACTTCAAGGTCGTCTCCAGCGATCTGTTTCAGTCTTCTTCATCCTTAGATAATCTGGTTTTACAATGATCGTCTTAGTTGATAATTTAAATTGGTCGCCGTAAAGAGTTTTTAAAGGTGACTTTTCGAGCGTTTGCCTTTCGTCTTTCGATCTGACGTCAGCTTTAGAAAATCTTTGAGGAGGCCAATTAATTTTATATTATCAACTCAGTCGATAAAACCAAATTTTCTAGTTATACTTCACCGACGCGACCACACTTTCTTTAATAAGTTACCTTCTTTATTCTCTCAATTTTTAGCCAACCTTACTCCTCCTTTGTTCATTATTGTCTCTTTGGTGTTTGCGCTATCTTACCAACTGATATTTTGTAGTTTTGCACAGTCCTTGTTATATGTCTCCATCCATAGCCATCTTTGATCTCTTTTATTATTTTTATTACTTGGTTATCTGTACAGACATAGAAAAGATACACCGAACATCTTTAACTGCTGAAGAATCATCGCTCCCCACACATTCGATAATTAGAACAGCTCCGTCACGTCAAGGAAAACGAAAAAAGAAATCTTGGCCAGAGCAGAAAGAGCGGGAAGGTATCGATGGTGTGGTCACGAAGGATTTAGATGGCGTGGTCACTCAGGAATCGGCTGGCGTCGTCACTGACCACTTGCAGCAAAGAGTCACAGTGGAATCAAGTGAGTGGGGGCATTCCACGGCAATGATGGCGCCTGTGTCTCAAAGTCAAATGGAATTGCTTCTTGTAGTAAGGTGAGGTTCCTATGTTGAATTGAAGTTGGTTACTCGTTATCGTGGAGTCAAGTGATGAAAGTAAGCTATGTGGCCGGTCAATAAAACTTGCACCGCCTTCCCAACTAGTCAGAAGCGAACCAAAACTGATGTCCGAGAAATATTAGTTCAGCTTTAAATTTTTTGCAGGCCTGGTGTTGGTGGTGACGTTGGTAGTACTGTGCAGGCTGGTATCCCTGTTCTTCGCATACCAACAATGATGGGGAACATTCAAAACTCAGAATTAAACACACCACTGCCGTCAGGCAACACTAGACAAACAACCCATGCAGAAACAGCGTCGCAAACGGATCATAAAGGAATGATGTCATCGGCCTCTCAGACGTTTATGCATTCTGGGATTTCAGCTGAGCAAGGTCACATGCCTCGCGAATCTGAACAAAGTGCTAACAATCATGTTGACGAGCAGATTGTGGCGAAAACAGCCTCGGTTCAAACTGAACCTGCAGTGGAACTAAAACCGGAAGGTCCCTTGCCTTTTTTCTACTTGTTACAACAAAAGCAAGCCTCTGCACCGCAGAATCAACTTTACCACCCTACAAGCAATCCGCAACCACCAACATCACAGTATCAAGATCAAAACAGAGCTCTACCTTTGCTTCGTTTTCCAGTTTCCGATGCGTCTTGCAAACTTGACCTGAGCAAGATGAGGCTGCTTGAAATTCCTAAGCGAGGCACAGACTTTCCTTTGTTGCAGTTTCCCGAATCAAAACCATCAACATCGGAATCTGTTCTGCCAGATTTGAACAAAATCAAACTCTTGGAAACTCATCCCAAGAAAGAACTTTGGACGAGTACCGCAGAATCAAAAGAACGTAGAACTGCACCCAACAACTGGGCCTTACTAAGCATGTCTAAACATCAAGCACCCTCAAATGGAGTTGACTTAAGGAATTTGAAACTTTTGGAAAATCCGCCAGTACTACGTGAAGCATGGCCGCTTTTAGAAGCTCCAAGGAAAGCAGAAACACCAAAGCTTATACCTCTGGAGAAAATACTAGCATTTGAAAAGGGTCTGAGGGACAAACTTGCACCATTCAGCGAACGCACGCGTTCCCCACAAGAGAAGGAGAACATCCAACCCACCGAGGAAAATAAATTGAAGCAGAAGGATTCTCACTCCGAGCCTCAGAAGATTATCGATCAAGAGAACAGGAGAAATACAGTTTCAAGGTAAGTTTGACCTTTTATTCCCAACTTCTAAGAGCCGATGATCCAACGCATGATTATACTTGTTTTCTCGTTGGCTACTCTTGAGAATTTTGCGTTTAATCAAGGTAATATTTACCGATCGAGTAATGTTCTTTGGGCCCATTAGGTATTACTGCGATCAGTGTCCTGTAAAAAGGGGGCAGGGGTGGGGAGGGACGCTGAGAATGAATTTTTTTTGAGGGATTTAAACCGTGGGGTAGTTTTTTTTTTTTTTTCGTTTCTTACAACGTTACCTCCCCAAGTTAAAGAAGTGGAATAAACTAGATGTAACAATGTGAAAACGATGTAGGGACCCTGCGAATCTGAAGAGATTTCCGTTCATGTGCTTTTGTTTCCAAGAACTAGCGGTAAATGCGAGCGAAACTTTGATGGTCGACTCAATGGCTGCTGCGCTGCTTAAGGGTACTCGCTCGAGATTCTCCCCGAGTTATATTGAAAAGCTCAAGTAGGTCGGGGAAAAGGATAACGACTACTTTTTGGGAAGAAGAGGTAGTATGTTTCTACCAGTTGTGTTGTGACGGAATAATAAATGTTAGTTTCGTCTTTTTTTTTTTTTTATCTAGACAGAGAAGAAGGCAGGTTATGGAAAAGCAGACAAGACCTCGTTCTACGTCTCCCGTTTTTAAAAGCAGGACAGGAAGAACACTTTCTCGCAGCAAATCTTTACAAGGAAAGCTTTTAACAGTGCAACCAGCGAAGAAAGCAAGAAGAGTCGATAAAGAACTTCCGAAGAGGCAAAAACCGGTGAAGGAACCAGCTTCTAAGAGATCAAAACCGACTAAAGTGCAGAAACCTGTTTCAAGAAAGGATTCTAAAAAACAAGTTAGCTTGAGTGAGAGCGAGTTGGAATTATCAGAGATCTCTGATCAAGTTTGGGATGCTTCCGAAGAAGAAAAGTATTTCCGGGTTGAGAAAAGTCCAGAACTTATTTCTTTCCCGGAGCACAGGGACCAAGGAAATGGGGGCTTTAAAAGGGGTAAAGTAGAGGAGAAGGAATCCAAGCTCGAAGGATTTGGGGATGGGATACCAGGGCCCCCAGCCATGCGTCACATGAAAGAGAGAATTGGACGGAAGCTTCATGAAGTCGACCAGCAGCTGACTTCCTATCGCAGCGGAAGTCCCAGTTGGAAATCTCTTTTCGAAACTGCGCGGCAGACGACTAGTGACGAAGGAAGGGGAAAGCAGGCTTACGAACGCCGACAACAGCAGAGTACCATTGGAATTCAAGTTGACGAAGTGAGAAGACCTCCCCAGACCTCCGCAGAACCCGTGGGGATTCTTCATCCAGGCATGCTCGACCATGGTGCAACTAATATTTTGAAAGTTAGTTCCAGTTCCCAGACTGATCAAACATCCGCGCAGACGTTAGCAAGGAGAGACATGGTAACGTCTGGTGTTCAAACGGAGAGAGGAAGTGTCGATTCGGATCGCGCGAAATCCCACGCACCCATCTTGCCGCCAGAGATCTTTTTAAACCTTCAAATGCCCAAACCTGACAAAGAAACCCAAGTGGGTGTAGACATGATAGATAGGTCTCGAGACCTCAACCCAGTTGATGATGACGAAACTGTCATTGACAAACCTTTCTATCAACGAGGAGGATTCGACAAGGAAAGAGAGCCTGGTGATGTCCCCCCTGCTGTTTCAAGGATAACTAGGTCGTCCAGGGGGAGGCAGTTCCTTAGTGTAGCTGATATAGATAATGATCAGTGGTTGGAAGTTCAGAGTACACCTATGACGTCTGCAGATGGAGTAGACTCAGAAAAGGAAGGAAAGAGAAAGGAAAGTGTTGATCAACAAGACGAACTTTCATTGGAAAAAGGTAAGATTCCCATGATTTGTGGTTTCCTATTTAAACAGTGCGAAGCACGGTGGCCTCATGGTTAGTGCGCTCGACTCCAGATCGCGTGGTTTGTGTTGTGTTCTTAGACACTTTACTCTTACAGTGCCTCACTTCACTCAAGCTTAAATGGGTACCGGCGAATTGAATGTTGGGGAGTTACTCTGCGATGGACTAACATCCCATCCAGGGGGGAGTAAAAATACTCCTAGTCTCATCATGCTACCGAAACCGGAGTCAAGCGCCGGCCCGATGGGCCACTGGGCTCTTAAACAGACTTTACGTCTATTTACACAGTCTTTGCTTCGTATGAAATCCGCTGGTACGATTGTTTGCTTCTAACTCAGAGCACTAAGTTCGGTTATTTTGCAAGCGCGAAGATACTTGATAATTGAAAGCAAATGGGATTCGTTTTCAGTCATTTAAGGGTTTGAAGCGCTATAAATCTTTACGTCTCTTGAAATGTCTTTTTATCTAACCCTGTCTTTTCGCGGTTTGGTATCTTTTAAGGTGATTCTTTGTTACTAGATTTTGAGTCAGACTTTCCCTGGTTTTTCCTTATGATGCAAAGTGTGCAAGAGAACAGAATATGTTTAGAGCTTCCTTAGAAGGTCTAAACCCTTAACCTTTCCATGAGTGACCAAGAAAGAATTTCTCCTTTCAGTATAAATACAATATCAAGCAAACAAGTGACGAGAATAAAGAAAACTATCAGTTGGGTGATTATTAGTAGATCAAATAACAAATTCTCTGAACCAATTTCATATGAATTGTATGGTAGACAGTCAGGAGATTTACTAATGAGATCTTGGGGATGTAATGGTAGACAGTCAGGAGATTTACTAATGAAATCTTGGGGGGGGGGTGTAATGGTTAAATCCCTGTGTCTGAACCTCTCAGCTCATGTTTATTCCGTAGGTTTTTTGTGTGATTCACATGAAAAGGAAGCGGAATTTTGACGCAGTACATGGAACAAAAGACTTATAGCAAATTGTCCTCGGGTGAACAGTCTTGACAATACAAACTTTGTTTGCACGATGTATAATCACAAATACTATTCCAAAAATAAATTTTCCGATGAAACTTTTTACTGTAAATGTTTACAGAACATTGAGAAAGCGAAAACAAAATTTTGAGGGATAAATGGTAGGGTTATGGTGCGCACGGTCATTTTGAGGGAAAAATGGTAGGGTTATGGTGCGTACGGTAATTTTAGTGTTTGCGCGCGCTATTTTACGCGAAACAGAATGTACAGAATAGTATTAGAGAACCGTCTTAATTAACCTTCTTTGTGTCGTTTTTCTCTTTTGTAAAGCATCTTTAGAAAACCAAAGCAACCTATCGGAAGAGGAGGAATATAAAGATAGAAAGGAGTATGTGAGGTATAGCGAAGAACCTGATAAGCTTACGGTGGAGATCATGGACTCAACAGACGATCCTGTGCAAAGGTCAGTCGTATGAAATTATTGCTTAAGGTGGCTGAACACAGTTTTCGCGCGCGCTTTTGCTGATGCAATTCAGCGCGCGCTCGAGGATTGCAAAAAAACAAACATGCCGTCAACAGAGTGGTCATTTCATGTACTCAACACGTACCCGCACTATCTGTGCTATTTTTCTCTGCAGTTGGCGCAGTGTATTGAGGGCTTTAATCTTTTATTACAAAGATATGTTAGAAAAGTTAAAGGTACAAAGAACCCAGTAATTCTCAGCTTTTTCGTCGTTACCGAAAGAAACCAGTTAAATGCAGCGCATGCGTTGTAAGTCAAAAAATTGCGGTTGAATGGAAAATTGCTATCTCGGAAATATGCCTATTTCTTGAGAACCACGCAGTAGAATTTCACGAAAGTTGGTACAAAAATACTTAAGGAAATAAGTAACTGGAGTTTTGAAACAAATTCATTTTAAATAAAGGAAATTCTAGAAAATCGAGTGAATCTTCAACAAGGGATAATCAAAGATCGCTCTGTTAAGTTGTTAGCAAAATGGTGTTAACTTGTGAGTATCGTTACAAGCTCGTTGCATGCAAATTATAAAGAAAATCTAATGACTAGATTTTGTACAAAGAAACAAAACCGATTTTAACTGCCTATTTATATCTATTCATGTCGCCATGGCAACGGTACACACGTCAGCTTAACTATCGAAAAAACAAAGTTTGTGTTGTTAACTTGCTTGCTGCCAATTTTGGCGACCGGGGGATCAAGGGTTTTAGAGAAAATGGTGAAAGAAACAAAGGTATCAAAAACTGTGTTCAGCCTCCTTAATATACGCACCAGGGCTCGGATGTTTGAAGAGTGGAAAGCGCTATCCACCGGTTAAACCTCTATTCCATGGATAGCACAGTACATTTTGTCGACGCTTATCTACCGAATAGCAATTTGTCCGTTGGATACCGTTACCCATCCTTGGGATAATCGTGGCCAGGGCTTCACTGACAGACTTAAGATTAAGGTCAACATTATAAAGCATATTTTTAAAAACTGGATCATTGGATAATACAATTCAAGACTTTTTATTGGCTTAGCCATTATGGTGTATGAGCCAATATACCATAATCTAATATCTGTACATTGTAACATCCGGTTTCTTCTTACAAAATAAAGTCGAGAAGATTTGTCTAATATCTTGGGGGCGTTTTTTTAATAAAACAATTATTCCACTCGCGCTTGTTGGACATGAGATGATTATAGCCAACTCGGCGCTAAGCGCCTCGTTGGCAATCTATCAGCTTATATCCAACGCTCGCTCGTGGAATAATTGTTAATTATTAAAAACTGGATCATTGGATAATGGAATTCAAGACTTTTTATTGGCCTAGCCATTATGATATATGAGCCAATATACCATAATCTACAAATATGGTAAGCGTACGCGTCAGCTTAAAATCAAAAGGTAAAAAATCCGGTTTTTTCTAACAAAATAATAATTTCTTGGGGCGTTTTTAATAAAACAATTATTCCACTCGCGCTTGTTGAATATGAGATGATTATAGCCAACTCGGCGCTACGCGCCTCGTTGGCTATCTATCATCTCATATCCAACGCGCGCT